TCTAATATATTAATTTTAACATTAACATATATGTACTCAATTAGTAAATAAATTAAATATAATATCATAAGTCAGTACGAATAAAAATATAAATATTAAAAATGTAACTAAATATTTTTTGAATTCCCCTTTTCAAAAAAATCATAATTGAAATTTATATGAAAATAAAAATTAAATAAAAAATAAAAAATAAAAATGCCAAATGTATTGCTATTGAAATCCATACAACATGTTGGAACATAGACACAACCACAAATTTCTACTTGAAAAAAAGGAAGTTTATGTCAATGGACAGATACCCCAACCTCACCTTGACTTAACTGACTTGATAGCTACAATACATTACATGAGTTTTCTAAATAAGTTAAATCTTAACACCCCTAAAATAAAAAAGATGAAATTTTCCTAAACCTCAACATCTCAAAATATCAAATTTGTCTGGACTTAAAAATTAAGTAAATCAATTTCTAAAAAGTTATTCTTAGCATTGCTTGATAATGGAATGGAATCGAACATTGTATTTTAAGTTTAATCTTCATAATTGAATTTGAATTGAAGTTTCAGTTTTAAAACATGGAAATTTTGGTGTTGTGATGATTATATGTTTAAAAAAAAAATGATTATAATATATGTATGTATGTGTGGGGAGAAAGATTTTAATAGATTAGAACAAATAATATTTTAATAAAAAATTAAATGCAAAGTCAATTGTTATCTTTTGTTTTCATAATTTTGGTTCTTTTATTGTTCTCTCTCTTTTATAATGTTTTCTTTTTCTCATATTCTCTCAAACTCAGTAACCTCTTGCATCTTTGTGGCTTTATTGCCTTGATTGGGGTGAAATGATTAAAAAATATATTATATAGGTAAATGGAAGAGAAAAGCAAATTTTGGAATAACTCATTTTTAAATTTACTGAGTTTTAAACGCACATATCAATTCATAATTTCCTGTTTCCAAGGATACAGAGAAATCTAATCATTTAAACAGGGGCGGTAATGTGTTCATTTTTATTAACTATTGTTGTATCAATTATGAGTTACGTTCGAAAAAGAGGTTAAGTTTAGGGAGGGTAGGGGTGTATTTTTCAACGAATTCTGATATCTGTGAAAGTTTTTCGGTATTTTTTCCGTACTTGTATACTAAAAGATTCTTTCTAAAAGGGGTGTTTATATATGTTAAATATAAGTATGTATGTTACCAGCTCCCCTTTTTTTTTCTTTTTTTTTTTAAATATTATTTAAGGAAAAATTTTGACAATGACAGCAAAGAATAGCTATTTCATTTCTTTGATTCAGTAAATTTTCATTTTTTATAAACTTAGTAATAATATAGTTTCTCGTTTATACACAAAGAACATGGGTCATTTAAAGACCTACATATTCTAGCTTTTCTTATTAATTTCCATTTTACTGTAGGTATGTTTTTTGTTTTTTTTTAAGTGCCAGAAATATTTCGATAGGGACGTCTGATTTCAGTATTTATTTATCCTAAATGAAATTTGATGTTGATTGAACCTCTTTTTGAACTCATGGCTTGTGCAACCTATATAGATTTTTATGTTTTCAGGATTCTCAATAGATGAGATATTGCTTTGGTATACTAATGATTCCGTGTGACATTTATTTTGTCGAGGACAGTTATGAGGATTTCTACAGTTACATAATTTTTGTTTCTCTTCATCTCTTTTTATTTTTATATTGTCTAAATTTCTTTGGTTTTGGTCTAAGTGTTTATTGAAGATATTAGCATTATGTTTCTTAATAATTTTTTCTAAGTTTTCAATACAGCTGTAACTTAACTTTAGTGTATTTTTATTGAAAATAGTACTTAGTTTACTATCTCTAGGAAAGAGATACTAAACTAAGTAAAAAGGAAAACTGGATCAGGAGGTCACAACAGGAAGAGAGATCATCATTTCAGCTTAGATTAAAGAGACCAATTAGAAAAGATCCATCTCAATCCATAAGACGTTTGGCATATGAGAGAGGAATTTCATCTATGACAGTCCAAAGAGCAGTGAAAAAAGGTTTGAAAATGAAATCGTACATGTAACCTGTGAGGCACATTGTTACTCCAGGACAAAATGTTAGAAGGTTAGAGAGGGTGAATTTCATCTTGAATAAGTTGGAAAATGATCCTGGCATAATATATATATATATTTCAGCTTTATTTCAGTTGTTCAGGATCTTCCAATCCTTAGCTATGATTAATTAATGATGAACATATCATATTCACTTATAATTGATTTCATCACAATTCTTCCATTAAGCATGGAGAGTAATTATACATTCTAATTGCTCAAAGTAGAGTCCAATAGTGTTATAAAAACCTCAGAGAATTCCAGTAAGATATCTTTAATTATTTCTAAGATATAACAATTCATATATATATATATATATATAATTTCAAAGTGTGCTGAAAAATTCTTCATTTAAGCTTCTTCACCAAATCTGCTCAAATAACCCAACACCAGTATTGTTTAAGAATTTAAGATTAGTTTGAGAACCTTTTAATACTTCTTTGGTGTGTGAGAGAAAGTTTAAAATTTCTAAATTTTTTTTTGTGTATATTATTTACATATATATATATATATATATATATATATATATATATAAATATAAATATATATAATGTCCAACCACTCATTTATGAATACCCCTGTCTTATAGGGCAGCTAGCCAATTCCTATTGTAGAGACCTGCTGTGACACATTTGTATTTGTTTGACACCCGCAGAGCCCATGTGTGGTTTATACTACAACAATGGTCTGTGGATCTTAGTTAGAAATTCTGAGAGAGCATATAACCTGACATGACCAAAATTTGATGAGAAACCCAACATCCTCTCAACCACATTCTCATACATAAACATGTATGTGTGTGTGTGTGTGTGTGTGTGTGTGTGTATATTTAGTTTATGAAAAACTAGGTAATCCGTATGGGTAAACCTAAGGAGGATAAAATCCAGAGAGCTCAATGTAAATCCAGAGCAAATAATTTAAATAAAAACAGACCACTTTAAGGTTCCATGTAATAAATTATTTCACTACTGCCCTTTTAAAGGACTGCGGATCATCAGACTTTACTTCCAAAGGTTGGTTCATTTTTTTTCTTTTCATTTTTTATTTCAAGCTTAATATATATATATATATATATATATATATATATATATATATATATATATATATATATATATATATTTCTCTTTATTGTTGCATAGGGTTGTTGCTGATTGTTGTTAGTCTTGTTTTGATGGTTGAATGAAGGTGTCAAGAACAAGTGAGACAACGATATAGCACAACAAATGGCTATGTGTGTACATGAGTGTGAACGTAATATATGTAGGTGTGGGCATACATATATGCATGTGTGTTAGTGTACATGCATATATTCATGGATATAAGTATATTTCCTTTTTTGCAGTCATTGTAGTTGGATGTTCAGGCAAGTATTTTATCTTGCACTTGTTGATCTATCAGTATGGCATGAGTGCTCAAATGAGAAGGCTTTCTTGAGCATGGTGGTGTGAGTAAACGATTGCAGCAACATGTGTGCTCCTTTGTGTGCTTGTTGTGGGAACTCTTGTGTGATCACCTCTACATGCTTTTGGATCATTCTTAGATAGAACCAGGGAGAGGTTCAAAATAAAAATCAAAAATAATTATTTTTTGCTCTGTACCCATTGGCTGAAAAGAGTAACATGATATGCTTACTACAATGTTGGCATAGGTGCAGTGCCAAGTTTACACGGGTGGGACACTAAGTCCAATTTTACTTAGACTTGATAAAATTGCAGTTGTAGATGGAATCTGAAAATGTATTTTTATTTATTTTTTGTATATCTGAAGTCCCAGCAATATATATATATATATATATATATATATATATATATATATAAAATTTCATTGAAGATGAGTGACAATTTACTGTGATTAAGCTTTTTATTCTGTTTTTCTTGTGTTCATACAAGAGTTTTCTAAAAACTGTTCAAATGTTCCTGATCAAACCAAATTCATAAATAATTATATTGGACATATCACTAGATGCCTGTCAAGAAGACTCATGTTACATCTCTCTGACAATAACTCAATTAGGACCCATTTAAACACACCCCAAAACCTACCAAACTCTGTCTGCAATATACTCCTAGAAAATACAATTTTAATATCCTCATCCACATGTAAAAAAGACTAAAAGTAATGGAAGCATTAATAAAAAATAAAGAAAAAGTCAATGCTTAATAATATCAACTATGAACATGACCACAATGTGATGACTGTGTTTGAAAAATGAAATAATACATTCCTATCACTATACACACATAAAATCTATTTACACATATATAAAATCTACATATTCAGTTAAAAATTTAAAAAATCCTTGATAATGACTAATAGAATAACTGAAAGTGTTTGGATATATTTTTTACACACTTTATGCCCAGAAAAGTAAATACTTGTATGAACATAAGTAAAATTGAGTAAAAAGTTTAATCACAGTTCTTTGTTAAGTCTCTGTGTGTGTGTGTGTGTATATATATATATATATATATATATATATATATATATATATACCAATAGCCGTTACAAATGACATCACCACAGACTTTCAAACTTTCCAAAGAATACCTGTATGTAGACAAATGAATTATAGCTACGACACAAACACTTCTCATTGGTTCTTGAAAATGACAGAAATAACTGTAATTTGAACAAAACAATAACACATGAACCTTGGGCAGCTTATCCGCAATTTTAAGCACAATATTCAGCACCTTATTCGAAAATTGGGAAAATACAATAAAAAGTTAAAGAAAGAGTAAAGACTTTCGGGTTCTTTTTAAATCAAACTTGTTTGGATGAGTATTTGTGAAATATGTTATTGCTATCTCTGTGAATATTCCTCTCTAATTTTCAAATGCATGAATAAATCGCTTTTATACAATATATAAAAATAAGATATACAAACATACTCAAAAATCTAATGATATATTTTTATTTAAATAGAGCCAGATAACTTCGAGGCTGAGATATGAACGAAGCAGTCTGTCCATATAGATCTGATAACCTGGCTGAAGTATAGATAGATAGATAGATAGATAGATAGATAGATAGATAGATAGGAACCATCTGAGCACGGATAAAATCACATTCAAATGGAGAGAAAGATAAGAACAGGTGCGATGGATGACAAACAAATATGCTCTTTCTTCCGTTTTTAAATACTTTTTTTTACTTCATTGTTATTGACTAGGTCCGAACAACGCACTCTTCTTATGACTTCATCTTTTGATTTTCAGTCCTACCTCTTGAGTATCTCTTCATATGTCAATGTTTGTTGTTTTTAATAATAGAACTGTCACTCACTTGGACAGCCATACATGTTATTGAATTTTTAATGCCTACACGCGCTTGCTACTGAACTGCATTCAATAATAGTGTTTTTGCATGTCAAACCTTGCTTCTGGCCTGAAGCCAGTGCCATTGCTTATCTTACATGCCACCTAGAGTAATCTCCCCTTATCGAGAACAGCTTGTTTTCCACACGAAGGAAAAGGTTAGAAATTGAGACAATTCGATCGTGCAAATTATTTTGCACTTCTCGTCGATTACATTTGCTCAAAAGGGTTTCGGGGTGTCACGATTTAGGGGAAAATTCGACTACATTACAAATATTTAGCGCAAACTTGTGTGTATATCTTACGAGATATTGATGAAAATAATGTATGCTCGTAAAAGTACATGAAGAAAGAGAAATGAGTATATTTTCTAATCTTAGCTCAGGTTAAAACACAGAGGTTGAGTTGAGAAGACAGTGTTGCTCCAATCATCCAAATACTGAGAGCTTGGTTATCTTGAAAATAATCATAATTATTCAAAAACCTTGATTTTTTTGTGGGCTTGAATTCGAAAAGCATTTATTTAAAACAACAAATATTTACTTTTCAACATTTTCTCCTTCCCTGGGAATGAACTTAGTCCAACATTTTTTCATTAATTACATTGATTAAATATTATACAATAATAATTTCAGATTAAAATTCAGTTATTAACTGTCACAGGTTACAGACTTAGTGATCTACATACATGTCAAAACATATTTTGTTAAATTGAGGTTTATTTTTATTTATTTTGTATTTTTTCAATTTTCAAATAATATATTGTCCATCTAAATCAGTAGTAAATGCCAGTTTGATCAGGAGAGAAAAGGATTCACTAAGAAAAAAAATGCATTGAGAGTGCACTGATCTCACAATTTAAGAATGCTCATAAATATTGATTTTTCTTAAATTTAAAAATTTTGAAAAACTAACATTTTTATTTTTGTTTATAAACACTTGTTGCAAAATAAAATCCTTACGTTTGCCCTGATAAAGTCCATCAGAGGACAAAACATGTTTAAGACAAGTTTCCTAAATCTGTGAATAGACCAGGGTAGGTAGATAGATAATGAACTTACATAAATATCTCTGAATAGAATAATGAATTGACTCAGACAGATGAACAGATTGAAATAGATGAATGGATTAAGATAGATGAACAAATTGAGATAGATAGATAGATAGATAGATAGATAGATAGATAGATAGATGAGCAGACTGAGAAATATAGATGAACAGACTGAGATAGATAGGTAGATGAACAAATTGAGATAGATGAATGTTTAGTAACCCTCATTTCAATTTCAAAAATTTTTCTTGAATTTCATTGGTTGTTAAATATAAAATAAGCTTCAAGAAATTTCCATAACAAAACAATCAAATTTTGTGCAGAAGTAGGCTCAACCGACGTAAAAAATCTTTTTCAAATTCAATTTAATTTAAATGATTCAAGAAATCCTATTTCCGCTATTTATTAGCTGCCAAAGAAACAAACTTCCTTTATGAGAGATTAGAAAATTTTATGCAACAAACTTTTTCACTTAATATCTTTCATAGAAAAAAATTTTGTCTAAGTTAAATTCAACCTTTTTAATCAAAGGCAGACAACTTTTTCGACATTGAACATTTCTGAAACAGCAAAGAACTTTTTCTCTTAAATATACTTTTGCACACATTACAAACAAAGAAATTGTAAATTGTGTATATAAAATTTAATTTGTTGTTTCAAACATGTATTTTTTTCGTGGTTAAATATCGTTACCATTTGGCCATGTCTTATAATTTATGTTTGTGGATATTGCATATTTTATTTGCAGCACAATTTTAAATATTCACGCAACCTTCCAAAATCCACTACAAATGTATTGAGATAGATGAATGGTTTAAGATAAATGAACAGATTGAGATAGATAGATAAATAGATGAATAGATAGAGATAGATAAATAGATGAATAGATAGAGATAGATGAATGGATTAAGATAGATGAATAAATTGAGAGAGATAGATAAATAGATGAACAGATATAGATAGATGAATAGATGAACATATTGAGATAGATAGATAGATAGATAGATAGATAGATAGATAGATGAACAGATTGAAGATGAACAGACTGAGATAGATTTATAGATGAACAGACTGAGATAGATAGATGAACAGATTGAAACAGATGAACAGTTTGAGATAAACATATATATATATATATATATATATATACAGAATGTGATAGATAAATGAACAAAATAAGAGAACAGATATTTAGTTAATTAATAGAGATAGTGAAAAATCAATGTCAGTTTGGACCACATCTGGTTTGTCATGAGGGAAGGCTAATGCATCAACTTCAAGACATGTTAAGCTGGTGAAATTCCAGCTGCCTCTACATTTCAGAAAAAAAAGGTGCATTGTCTTGCAGCACAAATACACTCGTTCATTGCTCTAGCTGGATTCCCTCCTTCAGAGGTGTTCTTAGTACAAACGTGATTTCTGCCAATGATTACTCAAATTATTCACATATATTCTTCCTTCTTTTGAAAAAAAGGTTCCGTTTTCATGATCTTGCCATCTGGTACCATGTCTCTGAATTTTTTGTGAAGATAATGAAAATCATTCAGACTATCCTTTCATTTGTTTTATTAATCACTATACTTTGGCTGGTGAGCTCTCTGACCTTCATCAGGTGTTTATCACCTTACATAAGCCTCAGTTTTTTACTTTCACCTTTTTGTTAATTTGGATGACATAAATCTGGAATGCCAATTGAATTCTCAAAAAATATTTTGGGTCCGTTGTTCCATTAGCAGAACATAATTCAAGACCTGTTTTTTTTTTATACCAGACATTAATTTTATTTTACCAATGACATTATCTTTTGCCCTTGTGCCACATCTAAGCTATGCTTAGTAAATTGCTATACTGATTTTTATCAAATTCTACAACCATGTCCGGGTACTAAATAGTTAAACAGATATTGTTATTAATTTTCACTAGTTTCTTCTTTTTCTTGTTTTTATTACATCTTGGTTGATCTTCTTTTTATTTTTTTTTTCAATCATTTCACCCTAAGCAAGGCAATAAAGCCATTAAGATGCAAATGGTTACTGAGAGACTGTGAGAAAAAGAAAACATTATTAGGGAGTGAGAGCAATAACAGACCAGAAAAATGAAACTATAAAAAAGTCAGTAAAATAAAGCATTTCTCCTATTAAGAAATGTGGTTTCTATTATCTGATACAGTTCTTTGTTTGTGATTCTGTAACACCAATTCACAAGGTTCAATGAAAGATGCTCCACACTGAGGCCTGCATACTTCACTTGTTTGGACCCATTTTTAACCATCGATCTGAGATAGCAGTTGTATATAGCCAACTATTTGAATATTTCTGAATGTGTTTGGTGCCATGAATGGCAGCCATATGAAAGATTTGTTCTGATGAGGTCATTTAGGAACATGACTAAAGTGGCAACAAATTTTTGTTCAGTGAAGTTTTGTTAATGATAACAAATAATCATATATATATATATATATATATATATATATATATATATCATTATTATATTTTTAACAAGTTTTTCTCATAAAATAAAACAATAAAAAAATTCAGTAAAATAAAGCATTTCTCTTATTAAGACTACTTTTGAGAGGATGATGTTCAGTCAGCCATTCTAAAGAGTATGGAAGGGTAAAAGTGATCAATCATAGGTTATGAAAAAATATCTTAGAAAAAAGGTTATTTACTTTTTGAGCTAAAGTATTTTTATGATTACAAATATCTCTTAACTCTTAAGCGGTGGTGAAAGGTTGCACAAATGTGTATGTCAAATAGACAAAAAAACAAATTTGCTTTTAAAGGGTAATTTTAATGCTTATTTTCACTTTAATTATATACAAAAACTATAAAACAAAAAGATATTTTAACTCTTGTAGATTATAAAAATTAGCACAAACAGGAAATAAATGTTAGGCTCCTAGATTTAATATATTTTAACAATATGATACTCTTTGAAACATTCCATGCCCAATGGAGTTATGCACTCTGCACCAAATTGTCACCATTTTTTTCTCTTTTCTACATCGCTCACAGCCACATCACATTCAAACACCAGTTCTTGTATGATCACTGATGGTAAGCAATGTCAAATTTGGTCAGTATCAAGTTGGGTGACTGCTTGAAAATACCAAGTGCTGAAAGCTTGGATGTGTTAATGGTGTAATGGGTAATGGCCTGGAAGATTTAATCATTGAGCCAAGTTTCAATTCCAGTTGGTTCATTATTATTTGCACACAAATACACTTAGTTAAGATATGAATTTTCCCCTTAGCTATGGGTTAATCAGTAATACTTGTATCACTAAGACCATTACCTCAAATAAAGAAAAATTGCATGTAAAATATTTAGATTTTGGTGTTAAATAATCCATAGAGGTGTTGATATGCCACTAAACAGAACCAACCAACATAGTCTTTTCTACATTCACAAATACATATGCTGACATAGCACTGTCTTTGGTGTGTCCTTCAAGATTTATTTGTGAGCAAATACTTTCTTTTGTCTAAGCTGGTGAGCATTGGTTTCACTATTTAAAAAACAGGGGTATCCACTGAATATAAAATTTGTTGTAATAATAAAACAGACAAACATATATAGATAGATATACTTAGCAATAATTCAGGAAGCTGTACCCACCTGTTAAATAGTTTAATGTTTTGGGGGAATTTTTAGGGACGTCTTGTCTAGTTCTTATTTTAGTATGGTAGTATTATTTAGTATTATCACTTGCTCTGTTTTCACTGAGTCCAAGAAGTCACTTAAGGAAATAAATGAATCTTTGCAAATGATAATCCCATGGGTCCTAGAATTATCAATTAATCATTTAGACTCGAATCAAAAAAGAATGATGCCAATATCATTGGAAAAATTTTAGACCATCTATTGATTATGTTTGCTGATCTATAATGAAACATCAGTTGATGATGTCCACCATTTAAGCATCAATTATTAGTTTCAACAAGTCTTTAATATTTCTTGCTGTTACTTTTTACTATACTTTGATCACAGAAAACTGGATCATAAAACCTAATAATAAAAAGCAACAAGAAACTTCAAAGAAACAAATCAAAATTAAGGTGTCTTGTAAGAATGTTTTTCAGCATCACTTTTATGAATGTCATATACTGTATATGGTTGCAAATGCAAACAGCAAAGCATTGCCATTGAGGCAGAAGGAAAAGGAAACAAGATATGTTAAAAAAAAATTATTTGTATTGCTGATCAAATGGATCAAAATGGAATGTCTCTTTGTGAGCAAGGGAGATGGCCTGACAAATAGGAGAATTGGTTATGTATGTGACACGTTTGTGTCGGGTTGGTTGAACAAGAGGTCACTGGTAAACTCTGTGAACTGCCTTGAGTGTTACTGAATAGGTCCTTTTATGCAGTCAGAGTGAACTCAGCATTTTTTTTTATGTTTTTGCTTTAGCAACAATGTGTGTGATTTGCTCCAACATTTGAATTTTATTTGATATAAAAGTGAGTGCTGCTGAGGATGTCCTTTTAAGCAGTCAGTGGATGCATGACTCAGCATTTTCTCTTGCTTTGGCTTTAGCAGTAATGTTTGTGATTTGCTCTGATGTTTAAATTCTATTTTATATTTTTTGGAATTTGTTTTGTGAGTTAGATGCGATGTTCATAAACCCTGCACTGAGATTAACTTTTTTATTTGGCTTTTCTAGCTTTCACATCCAGCTGACAAGTTTGGTGTGCAGTCAGTCAGAAAGAGGTTTAATGTGAAGAATAATATAAAGTGTTTACATCTGATAATGTATCTTCAGTTCCATGTGCATCTATATATCTGTGTGTCTCTCTAGGCTTCTGTTTGTATAAGTCAGCGATGTTCCTCTATTGTACTACTGTAGACAAATATAAGTGTCATAAGTCTGTGTAAAACTTCAAAGGTTTATGCTTTTGACTGCACAGATGACCAAAGGAAAGTTGTGATTAAATTACTGAAAATAGATCAAAATCTTTATTACAAAGCAGTAGCTACAAACAATGCTTTGAAAATAAATGTTTTTTCATTAATATTGCCTTTATTTTTATTGAGTGTTTTTGACTGTGTAAACTAAGGGAGGTAACCAGTGCAGTTTCAAAGGAGGTAAATCTATTAAGAAGAGAAATGGTCTGGAAATGTTGTTTACATTAAATTTTGGAAATAAATCTTATAGAATTTTATTCATTTTGTTTCCTGATTGTCTTACACAGACACACATCTGCTTGGTTGCTGAGTTAACAGATTTGAAAGCAGCACTTTCTCAATCTCATATTTTCCACTGACATGAAGTAGAATGGTTATATTGAATTACTTGCTTGATCTTCTGCTTGGAATAATGTTTTGCTGTGTTATGCCAGAGAATTTTCCTTGCCAGAATCCATCTTGCATTTTCATAAATCTACTTTATTTCTGTTCATTGAATATTGCTGCTGGTCTGGTGTTCCTGCTATATATCTCAAAATTATTGACAAAATCCCAAAAGGAGGTTTGTAATGTTATCCTTCATGACTAGGCATCTTGGCTTCAGTCACTTTCCCACCATTGTAACATATCTTCCTCTTGCCCTTTTCTATAAATATTCTCATGGCAATTATTCTACTGAGCTTTTCTCTTTGGTAACTTGACTTCATGAATTCAAATGCAGAACTAGATTGGCAACTAGGTCTCATCATTTTACTGTTGAAATAGCTAGATGTAACTGTAAGATTTATTCTAATAGTTTCATCTCACACACTTCTTGTCTGTGGAACCATCTTCCGGTTTTTTGCTTTCCTGTCAACTATGATCTTCAAAAGTTTAAATGCAACACCATTCACCATTTTCTGTCCTTTTAAGTCCTGTTTTATTTTTTTATTATTCTTTGTTCTCACTAACATTTTTTTCATTTTCTTTCACTCTCCACAATCCCTTGTTTGGGGTGAAATTATTAAAAAAAAAAGTATTACATTTAACATTACAGAATTATACAGATAATGGGCATGTGGCCAAATTCTTAGAATATTAGTGTTCCAACTCTGAGACACCAATTCAAATCGCACCATGGTTGATTTATCAAAATGTCTGAAAACAATGCCATGGGTTGACTGTTGCCTTGTGAGTGAAATTGGGTAAATGAAAGTGTTTTGAAGTTGTTTATGGTTGTGTTAGCACTAGTTCAAAAGTCATTATGATTGAGGGTTTCAAACATATTGGCCTTGTTCAACTTCTAATCATGCCAGATTATGCACTGAAAATAATGTTTATAGTAATAAACATAATGTCAGATTAAAATCCATTAATTACTTAAAATTACTGTGTTTACACATTGGATACAAAAATATAAATTAACAGATATAGACATTGAAAATCCTAACAAGGGATGTACATTTTATAGAAGAGGTACTTGAGCCTTCATTTTTTTGTACAGATCTCCCTGGCTGAATGGTTAAAGCACACTTGAAAAACTGATAGTTCCATAGGATACAGGGAATGTGGGTTTAATTCCTGCTAAAATATACATTTTATTTAATAAGACTTTCTTTTG